CGCGGTGCGGTCAACGCCCGAGCGTTGAGCCTTGCGCGCAAGGCGGTTGATCTTTGCAACTGCTGGCGGCGAGAAGCCGCCGCCGAATGTCTCGTGGAGAAGCAGGTTGAACTTGTTGCGTTTGGTGAAGATCCCATCATGGTAGTGGCCACGCTGTGACTTGACGTAGCCTTGGCCGGTGGTGTGGTCGAACGCCCGTTGACCACGGAACCCGCGTTGCTTGCAGCCCATGTTTGCAAGGCGGGCGCGCTCTTCGGTGTTGCCGAAGGCGAACTTGTCTCCAACGGAGCCGGGGTTGCCTCCGGTGTCGGCGCGGCCGACCCCAACGGGCAAGCCACCCCGCAGGGGGGTCCAAAGTTTGACCTCACTGATCTCGTCTTTGCCCCCGGGGGCCTCGCCCGGTTCAGCCAGGTCGGTTTTGTAGCCCTCGTTGAACTGTTTGGTGAGTTCTGGTTTTTCGGCATCTCCCATGACGGGCCGGGAGACGGAGACGGCGTGGACACAATCGTACCAGGCGCGAAGTACGCCGTCGTGTGGGCGCCGCCGGGCGGCGTTGTTGAGGAACCAGTCGCCATGGTAGTCCTTTGCACCACCGACTGTGTCCCCAAGCTCGAGTGCCCGCGTGACAGTCGAGCGGCACTGCGAGAGGTGAAGGCCGTTTCGGCGCTGAAGCTCGCCGATGAATATGTCGTCTGGAATGCATGTGGCATTGCTTGGCGGTGGCGGTGGCGTCGGCGGTGGCGGTACCGAGGGCACCGGGCGTGAGGAGGGTGGGGTTGGCGGCCGCCGCTTCGGTCGCTGGCACGGGATCGCCGTTGAAGGGGTACCAGTGGTCAAGTGCAATCGGGAAGCCGGCAGGGAGCGGCACGTGTAGGTTGATGTGTTGAAGCGCTGCCGGGACGCCCCCATTGTCTTCACCGTACTTTTTGTGGATCGCTCCGCTGCCGCCGATTGCCCCATGTGCAGCGCAGAGATCCCAGCAGCTGAAGATGCCGCGTCCGCGTCGAGGGATATAAAGAGCATAGACGGGCGGCTCCTTCTTCTTCTTCCCGTTGCCGGCGGCCCAGACCCCAGGTAGTAACGTGGCGAGGGTGATGGCTGGTCTGGAGCTGAAGGCGGCGACGCAGAGTTGAGCGGTGTACGGGTTGACGATGATGTGAGATATGTCGTAAAGAATGTCGTAAGAGATGACGGTCTCGGGACGGAACAGATCGAGGGCGTGTTGGCAGGACGACAGGTTAGGGCCGCCACGAGGGACGACCTCGCATCCTTTGGGATCATCGGCGTCCTCACCCGCAGGCACATGACCCCCTGTGTCCTGGTTGAGGGGCGTCCACGAGATGATGGTAGTCCAGTTGGCGGCGGTGGTGGTGTTGGCTGCGCGGTCACAAGGTTGCTGCGCAGCACAAGGCGGCTGGTCCAAAAGGAGAGGTGGGAGCTGTGAGGCTCTGGGCGATGGCTCAGGCGATGGCTCAGGCGATGGCTCAGGCGATGGCTCAGGCGATGGCTCAGGCGATGGCTCAGGCGATGGCTCAGGCGATGGCTCAGGCGATGGCTCAGGCGATGGCTCAGGCGATGGCTCAGGCGATGGCTCAGGCGATGGCTCAGGCGATGGCTCAGGCGATGGCTCTGGCGAGCCAGCGCGCGAGTCGGGTTTCGAACTGGAGGCCAGTCGACTGCCGTCGGGCTCTTGAGCGGCTGCGCCACTGGCAGAGGGCAAAACTGGTCGGGTCGCATTTGTCTGGTATTTGTCGGACAAACGCTGCACTGGTTGAAGGCAAGCGAGATGAGGAGCGCGACTTGGCTCATCAGCAAGGCACTGCGAAGCTGGACGGGACGGGCGGTGAGGCGGTGCGAATGTGGGTCCATTCGGGTCGACCGCGGCCGCCAAGGCTGCGAGCAGCCAAGGCAGCGCCATATAAGGAACTTTCTCTCTCTCACATGTATCGGCGGCCCATAAACTGTCGGCCATACAGCCAAGAGCGCAAGACCCAAGAGCGAGGACAGCTGGCCCCCTGCGCCGCGATATGCGCCAATCAATCATAAGCAGTTGCAGCACGAGCCCCCCCGCTGGTAGGCCTTCCCCAGCGATCCAGAACTTTGCGAGCGGCAGTTGCAGCCCGAAGGCACCTCGGGTCGCAAGTTGCTTGGATTATTCGCAAATCTGCAGTCCTCGCCTGATGACCCGACCCCTCCCGGCGAGCTCGGCGGTGAGGGCGGGAGGCGGCCTCCCGTGATGAGGTTGGTGATCTTGCTCTCCGACAGCCGGCGCGTATTGTCGCAGTTGCAGCCGCAGTCCGGATCGCAGCAGTAGCAATAGGATGGGAGGTTATAGCAAGGCCAGCTTCTGCAATAGCAAGAGTTATCTGAATAGGGGCTCCCACGGCACATATAGTAGCCGCCTCTGCACGTCTCGCAAGTACCCGTCGGCGGCGAGGGGGGCGGCGGAGGTCTTGGAGGGGGAGGCGGCGGCGATGGCGGTGGAGGAGGAAAACTCGGGGGAGAAGGCGGCGGTGGGGATGAGGGCGGGGGGCGTGGCGGCGCGGGCGGATATGGCGGCAACGGCGGCGGCACGGGCGGAGCAGGCGGCGTGGGCGTCACGGGGGGCGGCGGGTTCGATTTCGGTGGGAGCGGGGGGGGAGGCGGCGGCGCGGGGGGTGCGGGCGGCGACGGCGGCGCTGGCGGCGCCGGAGACGGCGCTGGTGGGTCCGGTGGCGTCGCGGACGGCGGCGGCGGCGAGGGCGGCGAGGGCGGCGAGGGCGGCGAGGGCGGCGGCGCTGGCGGCGCTGGCGGCGAGGGCGGTGCTGGCGGCGGCGGTGGCGGTGGTGGCGGACTGGGTGGTGGCGGCGGCGGCGCCGGCGGCGCCGGCGGGGAGGGCGGCGCAGGGGGCGGCGAGGGAGGTAGCGGTAGCAAGGGCTCGGGCGAGGGTGGTGCCGGCGGTGGCGGTGGCAGGGGGGGCGATGGGGGAGGCAAAGGCGGTGCGGGTGGAGAGGGCGGCAACGGCGGCGGCGAGGGCGACGGCGGCGGAGGGGACTTTAGTGGTGGCGGCGGTGCGGCGGGCGGCGCGGGTGGGGAGGGCGGCGCAGGGGGTGGCGAGGGCGGCGCCGGCGGCGACGGCGACACGGGGGAAGGCGGTGGTGGAGTTGGCGGAGCCGGCGGCAGGGGCGGATAGGGCGGCGGCGATGGCGGCGCAGGCGGAGAGGGCGGCAACGGCGGCGGCGAGGGCGACGGCGGCGAATTGGGTGGCGGTGGCGGCGGTGCGGGCGGCGACGGTGGGGAGGGCGGTGCAGGAGGCGGCGAGGGGCTGGATGGCGGCGACGGGGAGATGGGCGAAGGCGGTGGTGGGTTTGGGGGAGCCGGCGGCAGGGGCGGATAGGGCGGCGGCGATGGCGGCGCGGGCGGAGAGGGCGGCGCGGGCGGCGGCGACGGCGGTGGCGGCGGATTGGGTTTCGAGGGTGGCGGCGAAGGCGGTGGGGGCGGCGGGGGGGCAGGAGGCGAGGTGCAGGGTTGGGAGTCTGTGTACGTGATGACGACTTGGGCAGCGTAATCCTCCTTGTCTCCATCGCTCAGATAGTTTGCCACCTGCGCCGCTTTGGTCGAGCAATGAGCCAGTGCTGCGCGGCTGCCTTTGTCTTGCGGGCGCGCCGCAAGTGCTAGAGCTCTGTGCTGCGAGCGTCGCATCTAGACTCATGAGAGCTCTAGCGCGAGATAGCCGAGATCAGGCGAGGCTGCCCGAGCGGCGCATCTAGGCTTGAGATCACATCGAGAAGGCCGTCCCGGAGCAAGCGCCGAAGAATTTTTTTCTGTGTGCGGATATTTTTGAGATATACAACCCGGGATGCTTTCGTCCCGCAAAGTAAGTAGTTCCCGCACATAGAAAAATGCTGCCGCTCGCCTCGAAAGCGCCCGCCGGCGCGGTGTGTGTCCAAACATGTGGCGCTACAAGTTTGTAAGGACGCCGTGTTTGTTATGACCCCCCCCAATGAACACACGTCACCAGTGAGGGAGGGCGAGACGATCGAGGGGTCCCGTACCATGCGGAATCGACCCTATCAAGTGCTCAAGTGCTGCTCAAGGACGCGTCCCTCCACACCACACTTTCGCGCCTGGGCAACGGTGATGACGCCGTCGCGTTACCGACCGCTTGTGCTTGCGTATTATAGCAACCCCTCGTCCGACGGCAGCGTCTCGCGTCCGCCACTCCGCCCGTGCGCGCGCCCCTCACGCCGCATCGTTGTCCGCCTACACCGCTCCGGCCGCACCCGCAGCCTCGGCAAGTGCCTTCACACGCGCTGGGTCAGGTGCAGCAGCAGCCAGTGCGCAGCAGCAGCCAGTTGCAGCAGCAGCAGCCAGTGCAGCAGCGAGTGATCACGCTTGCATGTGCTGCGATGAGTCACTTTGGCTAAATCCCATCAGAAGGCCCCGCGTCAACCCGGCGTCACGAAAGCACAATGTGGCGCGGTGCAATCACTGGAGTCAAAATCGGCTCAAAAACAACGCCAATGCTGCCCAGATTGCGCAGATAGCACTTGCTCGTTATAGCGAGGCGACCGAGCGCGAGAGGCTGGTGCGGAGCGTGCAATGCATGAGATCCACTCTCGCGCTACAATGCTAGCGCGGGAGGCGAGTTCGCGGGAAGAGGAGCTGGTGGCGATGAAGGTGGTGGAGCTCAAGGTACAAGGAGGAGCTGGGCAAGCGTGCCGAGGCCCTCTCGGGCAACAAGGCGTGGCTGCGCCGCCGGCTGCACGCCGCTACAGTGAGCGAGTATTTGGAGAGCGCCGCGGGCGCCGACTGAGAGAGAGGAGAGTAGAATGTCCAAAAATTTCGCGCGCCTGCGGCGCGCGACTTTTACCATTTTGCCCCGGTCGGGCCCACTTAGCACTTTTGGCGCGCCGTGCTTTCGTCAAGTCTTATCGTTTTGAAATCGGCCGAACTTTTCGGATATCCTCAGAGTATGGGTGCTCTGGCACGATCCAGCGATCCACGAAAACGTGGGCGGATGAGAGTTACACGTATTGCAATATGGATGTTGGATCGCTCGGCCGCGATACGCTGTATATACCACCGTAAGTCGCCAGCGAGGGATGTGTAGGAACGCGCCGTCGTCGCGCCCGCCGCCCGCTCGTCGCCCAGCACGCCGAGCGTCAGAAACACCACGCGGACGCAGTTTGCGAGCCGCGGGAACTTCTCTCGCGCGTCACGGAAGTCAGCAGCGCTCGAAGATGCGATAGAGCTGCTCCGTACACGCCACCTGGACCACGGTGTGGTCGGTCGACTGCGCCGCCGGCGGCTCGTAGCTCCGCCGGATGCTCGGCAGCAGAACGTGCTGCACTGTCCAGGCGGGCGTCCGCGCCGCCTCCCCCGCCGCCGGCGTGGCGGCCGCCTCCGACTCGGCCTCCTCGACCGCGCCAACTCGATCGAGCCTGCCACGAGAGAGGGTGGCCGCGGGTCAGTCTCTCGGCCGTGCCCTCGGGTCAGCTCAAGCCAACTCTCGGGGAGTGTCTCGCCGGTAGAAGGACGCGAGCAGCCGCGCGAGCGAGTCAAAGCACGGCTCCTCGGCTGACCAGTCGACGTGCGAGGCGAGGCGGAGCGTGAAGAGCGGCAGCGCGTTGAGCGGCGGCGCGTACCCCTCGATGAGCTGCGGGAGCGCGACCAAGGCACCGTCGCGGATGACGATGGAGAGGTACTCCTCCAGCATGGCCGCCTGCTCACAGCTGCAGCCGTGAAGAGACGCCGTTCACAGGAGCACCCCTCGTCCTCCAGCA